CCGGGTCGCGGCGCTAGGGTTACTGTCGGCGATAGTGGTTCCGGCTGTGAGGCTAGGTATTTGTGGCGTGAGGCCGGTAGGGTTATGTGGGCTGGGTTTGTGACCGACACCGGGAAGGCTGGCTGTGTCGGGTGGTGGGGGGGAATGAGTTTGGATGTGGCGGGATCCTCCATCGGAAAGTTTTCAGAGCATATCCTTACTTCTTGACAACATACAAATTAGCTGAACTATAGCTGATAATTGCCTAATATACGTATTATATGTTAAGGGATAAAATCCCACATATAAAAATATAGACCAATTTACAAAAAATTTGGTAACTCCTCTTAATAAGATTGACATTTCAAGATGAAACTCCGAGTCTTAATATGGTATCAGAGATCATTAAACTCCAATGTGCAATTTGATCCAATTAAGACACAAAAAATGAACATACAAATTTCAAGATTATTCTGTTCAAACGAATCGCCATCTTACGAGGCCGTACAATTCCCTATTTTAAGTATATCGAATAAAGTTGAAAACATATAACAATTTATAAAAGCTTGAGAGACTCCTCTTAATAAACTTGACATTTTAAGATGGAATTTCAAGTCTTAATATTAGACACGTTATAACACGTGAAGAAAAAGAGTTTTGTTGATTTTACACTCCCTTAGAACTCATTATTATTGGTAATTGATGACAAAGTTTAATATATAACTATTATTATTATAACTTATTGAAAATCGATAAATTTATGAATTAACAACTTCAAATAAAGTAAACTTTTTTAAAATAATAGATAACCACACAGTTTACATTTATTATAGAAAATAGATATAGTATCAAATAATTGACAAGCTAAAGTTTTAAATTAATTGAGAACTAAAGTTTTATTATTGGAAATAGACAATAGTCTTAAAACTTTTACACGTGTAAAACTACGTTACTAGTTGACAAATATAGACTTTGTTTGAGCCACATATTTGGGGAAAATGAGTTTTGCAATATTATTTCTTTTTTAAGAATGTGTGGTTAAAATTAGAGAAAAATTTTGGATTTATGTGTAAAATTGTAAATTATTTTATTGGGCGAATATGTGGTTGAAAATGAGTTTGAGAAAAAATAAATTTTGGAGAATGGGGTTCAAACATGGGCATAGTTTTATTATTGTAAATAGATAATAGTATTAAACTTTCAATACATTTAAAATTGTGTTAATAATTGACAATTATAATTTTATTATTGGAACTAGATAATGATATTAAAACTTCTAATATATATAAAATTGTGCTAATAAATTATATGTTAATATAATCAAACTCCACTTTATATTTAATATCTTTACATAAATGTAATTATAAATTATTAAATAATCTATCCTATATAATAGCAGATAGAGTTTTAGAAAGGAAAACACCATTAAACTTAAAACATTAAAACCTGTCTTCTTTTGAAATTAGTAGCAGGCAACAGAGTGATGAAGAATTATCAAAACCACTCTGGAAATATGTTTTAATTTTTTTTTTATAATAATGAATATATATATATATATAATCTGGGAAGCTGCAGGGAAGACAAAAAGAGGGCGCTTTCCTGTATTGCACTAAAAAAAAAGTTGCCACTAATGAAAATTCCAATAAATATGTTTGTGTAAAGATGATATCATTGCTAACTGGTCGATATATTCTACTGAGGTAATATGATGAAATTTGATTGGTTACATAGAAGAATGGAATGTCAAAAGATAGAAGCAAGCACTACGAAAGCAACAACAATCCCAACCTACCCCAGTCCATCCCTTCACCTGGATAATTGCCATTCAAGCACCTTTGGAAGCAGACAGAAAGAGATGGCATGTAGAGGGTTTTTTTTTTTTTATCACTATAGGAATATAAAGGCGTAGAGATGGAAACTAACTACGAACGTAGGGAGGGAGGGAGTTCTGAGCGGAAGCATGAACCAGGAGAAAGAAGGGGAGAAATTCAGGAATATAACATGATTCATAGAGAAGATTAATGTTGGGACTAGCAAAAGCCGAGAAGACTGTAATATTAATAAACTAGGCCTCATTCCCAACAAACTTGAGGTCTATTATATGACTCGCTTTTTCCATTCCATTTGGTCAACCTTTCTGTTTTGGAAGGCCCGAAAAATTGAACATTTTGCAACCAGCTCAAGCAATATTTTAGTCCACTTCCCCCCTTCTTATAATATATTGGGATTACATAGCTCATTTTGAATAATACAGTCATCAGGTACATCATATATGAAACAGATATCCACATCGTCCTTCGCTTCACTAGGGAAAAAAATCAAAGATACAAATGAGGGGTAAAGTAGGCAGAATGATGACAGCAAGGACAAAGAGCAGTAGATTGTGGAGGAAGTGGACTATCGCCTTCACAGAGCAGACAAGAGATCGAATCAAGTGATGGGCGGTTGAGGGCCAATGAGAGAGGGCAAAAAGGATATTTACACATTAACAAACCTAAATAAGCAGAGGCCTTGGAATAGTTAATTGTTCTTCAAAATAATGTTAATCCATAAAAAAAATACGCAGGGTACTTACTTTAAGCTATGCAAATGAAGATTAATCCTATATAGACAAATATGAAATAAAGTTTCATAAAAAGTCAGTATCTTCAATCTTTTATTTACCTTTATATACAGTGGCTACTGCTAATATGATTAATTAGACAATAATCTCTCACCTTAACAGACTTCAATTAAATAAATTATACATAGATTTAAAGCCCTTCTATAGACCTATTTGGTCTCAAACAAACTAAGATTTTTTTTTAGAAATTATTCAATACACGAAGAGAAACTAAAAATAGATATAGTGGCAAAATAGCATCCGACAAAAAGCTAACAAAACTCAGGCTAGAAGAATATTAATCCGGCTGATTAAAAGAAGATAATATACAAAAACCCACCTGGGAAATACAAACTGTTGGTCCTCTGTTAGGCCTGAAGCTCCAATGATTCCCAAAACTCAGACTCAAGCTCTGCCCACAAAGCATGAAACAATAGTTAATAAAAGTAGCATTTTCCTTTTATTTTTGTGATTTGAGAGGTGAATGTGGCATCCATAGACAAACATAGGCTAAAAATTGTGTGTTGGAGTGGGTTTGACAAGGGTCTTACCATATCCAGAAGAAAGAGCGGTAAGCCATAGACTATTCGTTTATTGTAGAAGACAATGGCTAGCTGGCTCGCTGTGGTCTCCTATTCGGGTAAATTACATATAGTCCCCAACCTTTTACAATTGTGACTTTCAGATCCTCAACTTACTTAATAACGTATGTAGGTCCCTGATCTTTTAAAACAGTGCGATTATCATCTTTTTACATCGAGTTAATTGTTTCATTAGCCACTGAACTTTCATACATGTCACGGTTTATCCACTCACCTTTAAAACTTATCCCACTGGCCACTCAACCTTAAACCGTCCCACTCCGTTGGCCACTGGATCAAAATCGTTAGTAACGTTGTCCACGTGGCTGATGGAAAGATGACGTGGCACGTTAAATTCCACGTCAATGCCATGTGTGCAAGTGGATTACTCACCGAACTTTGCTCCATGTCACGGATTACTCACCGAACTTTGCTCCATGTCGCGGATTACCCACTGAACTTTGCTATATGTCACGGATTACTCACCGAACTTTGTTCTATGTCACGGTTTACTCACCGAACTTCCAAAATTGTCCCGTTGGCCACCGAACTTCACTCTATCCAACTTCATCACTCACCCAAATTAAGATGATGTTTGACGGGGATTAAAATTGAATTTTTTGGTAGATTGTGATAGAAGTTTTTGAAATATGTGGTTGAAAAGTTGCGGGACACATGAAATGGTTAGAGACGCATTTTATCATATTTAATCAAAGCGAGATTCAATTATATTATGAAATACGTGTTTGGTAGTAATGATTAGGGTTGGGCAAAAAGTCTGAACCGAATCGGATCCGAACCAAACCAAACCGAAAGGTTTTCTTAAATTAAATACCCGAACGAGTATCTGAATCGAGAATCGATGAGTTCGGTTCGGTTACCTATTCTAGACCAAGAACTGAATAAGAACCGAATTTCTCTGAATTTTTTAATTTTTTTATATTGTATAAATCAAATTATTTCAATTTTTTCTACACAAATTAACTAATTAGGTAATTAATGCTCCAACTTCCAAACTTTTGTTTAGAAAAAATTAAAATAATTTGATTTATCCAATATAAATAAATTAAAAAATTCAAAGAGATTCGGTTCTTCTTCGGTTCATGGTGTAGAATAGGTAACCGAACCGAAAGATACTCGTTCGGGTATTTAATTTAAGAAAACCACTGGATTTGGTTTGGTTCGGATCCGGTTCAATTCGGACTTTTTGCTCAACCCTAATCATCACTACCAACACGCATTTCATAATATAATTGAATCTCGTTTTCATTAAATATGACAAAATGCGTCTCTCACCATTTCATGTGTCCCGCAACTTTTCAACCACATATTTCAAAAATTTCTATCACAATCTACCAAAAAATTCAATTTTAATCCCGTTAAACATCATTTTAATTTGGGTGAGTGATGAAGTTGGATAGAGTGAAGTTCAGTGGCCAACGGGACAATTTTGGAAGTTCGGTGAGTAAACCGTGACATAGAACAAAGTTCGGTGAGTAATCCGTGACATATAGCAAAGTTCAGTAGGTAATCCGCGACATGGAGCAAAGTTCGGTGAGTAATACGTGACGTGGAGCAAAGTTCGGTGAGTAATCCACTTGCACACATGGCATTGACGTGGAATTTAACGTGCCACGTCATCTTTCCATCAGCCACGTGGACAACGTTACTAACGGTTTTGATCCAGTGGCCAATGAAGTGGGACGGTTTAAAGTTGAGTGGCCAGTAGGATAAGTTTTAAAGGTGAGTGGGTAAACCGTGACATGTATGAAAGTTCAGTGACTAATGAAACAATTAACTCTTTTTCATTGGAAAATTGCTCGATTTATACCCATTTATGCACTTTGAGCTTCAATATTTGTTTCTCGGCATTAAGTTCTTCCCTTCAAAAATAATTTCAAAATGGTCTTTAGTTTGATTTAAGTTCGAATTACTATATTCACACACGATTTTTGTTAATTGCTCGCATTTTAGTTATAATGAAGGTTCTCGAGTTTTACTCATTTTTACACTTATATCTTTAACTTTTTTTGTCGCATTATTATATTTAATTTTTATTAATTAACCTATTTTTCTATGATGATGATTTCCATCCAAATATTCTGTTAGTGGGGAAAAATATTTTCTCAAACCTTTTTATTTGTTGTTAAGCTTGCTTATTTGAAAACATGAGAAACAAATAAGTTTTTTTACTTCCTCTTAATAGATTTTCTGACCTTCTTCATAGACAAGATATGATAATTATTAGAATATTGAGGATAAAATGACAAAAAAGTTTTAAGGACATAATGTAAAAATGAGCAAAAGTTGAGGACATTGAACTGGCTTCTCCCATCCCCTCTGCTTCTTCTCACTCGACAACCACTGCCTTCCAAATGGAATACTAGACATGAGAGGGGAGGACGTAGAACTTAAAAATTGGGGGCACAATCGAATTTGCAAAGAAATTGGGAGAAATTTTACAATCGAAAATTTAAGTCCAAAAAAATCATACCCCAAGTAATTTTGCATCCAAAAATTTATTCATACCCCAAGTAATTTTGCATCCGAAAATAAAATTACATGGGATATGACTTTTTCAAATGTAAAATTTAGAAAAAAAAATTATGTCATATTCCATATAAAATTTCCTAATAAAATGATGAAAATTATATTGAGAAATTTGTATTGCAAAAATAATAAATGTCAATGAAATAATTGAATTTTTTTAAAGAAAATGCAAGTTAAACGTCTTCTTTAAAACTCACGATTAATGCATTGAAGATGATATGTAAGGTTCGATTCTTTTGTAATTTTGATGAATTGGAACTGAACATCGAATGACTTATCCACTCTCGCATTCTCCCTATTAATTTTATTGTATGCACATTCACTCTCCTTGTGCCCAACAATTCATATTGTACCCGCCAAAAAAGATTAATAAATAAATAAAAATAAAAAAGATTATGTCTCCTCAATAAAGGCTCAAATACCACATTTTAGCGGTCAACTTGTGTCAATACTTACCATATCCCACATGCACATTCCGCTCATATACATTGCTTCAATTGTCCCACCATTGATTCACATTGCCTAATATATTGTCCCGTTTCAAGAGCGAAGGCACATTTTGAAATTGTATGCAAAATGAGCTTATGGTCAAATCTATCATTGTTATATGCATTGTTTGTGATGATTTTATCTATTCAATAAGTTGTTTGTTGAAATTACATGGACCGCTACCGAGTACCTTTGCGCGATCGATTGTACTACTGAATTGGAGTACGAATATGTTCAGCCCCAATTTTTGCTCAACTCGAACCTTTTTGTTTAGTACGTCATATAGTCCAAACAACTCCCTCCAAGCTTTATGCTCCAACGACAAGAACCTTCCCAACTGACCAAAGGTCCACACGCATCGTCCCTCCCTCAAAGGTTCCCCTCTCAATCAGAACAGCAGGCCCCCCTCATTCTGAAGCCCCAATCTCTCACACAGTCTCACCAATTTGATAGGGGTTATCTTACGGAGCGTAAACAAGAAAGAAAAATCATCACTTCAAAGTTGTTACGAAACAGAAGATAACAATTATAATCTACTTTGACAATGGTTATAAAGAATCGAATAATAGATTATAAAAAGTATAAGGTTGGGTCAGACTATAAGTTACCTGAGAACACAATAAATTTATATATCAAAATTATTATGTAATCAACATGAATATATGCAAAAAGGATTTAAAATAGATTGATGTTTAAACAATGAGTTTAAGCATGTAAACTATAATAAATACACGCATGCAAATAATAAAATAGAAAACTTGTCTTAAGATTGTTAGAACTATTATTTAACATGCAAGATATGTAACAAAATCATAAATGAAGAGAAGGAAACGACAAACCGAATAAATGCTTAACGAAATTGAAGAAACCAGTAGATTGAGGCTAGAGTTCAAATATATTTCCTTAAGACGATTTTGGACTGCTACAGTACTTACAGTTGACGCCAATCGCGTCCCAAGATACAACAATCTTTCACTTGTGGTGTAGAAGCACTCTTAACAGCAAGAATGACGAACCAGAAACGTTTTGTACTCTCTCAATGAATGAAAAATATATTTGTCATGCAGAATGTAATAGAAGAGAATGAAGATATTGGAAATAATCAAATTCGGAAATCAGAGGTCTTATTTATAGATTTTCAAAAGCTACAAGCCAAGAGTTTCAACTCCTTGAAAGGTTATTCCTGAATAGATACAACTATTAGTTTGTGTCAATTTAGTTCGAAAAGTTTTGAATAGGTTTGAAAAAACACACTTTTTCAATTAATTAATTTCAAAATTCGACAACGAACCCCGGCCCGACCCGAGCTCGTGCCGACCGACCGGTCGGAAGGCGAGGACAATACGTGTGTGGGTTTTGGGCTAGTTTAGACATTGTCTAAGACTTTCCCTTCCAAAGACTATTGGTACCCCTTTGGACCCAAACCCTTATCGAAATTTAATGTATATAAATCGGTTCAAAATTCTTTCAACTTCCTATGTGAGATAAAGTTCCCACACTTGATTTTAAATTCCAGAATTTTTACTTTCAAGTTGTCAATTTCTAACATTAATTTCTCATTCATCCGAAAGTGATTTTGTAAAATTAAATATATCACGATCGTCTACTCGCGAAGTAGAACACGTTTGACTCTTGACCCGCACAAAATGGATATTGGATCCCACCCGAATTATTAATCAAATTTGACCCATTTCCAACACTTTCTTCGGTGGATCAATTCATCTAATAAGAACAACGATAGGGTAGCATACAAAATTAACATTTGGGCAATTGTGACATCAATATGCATGTATGAAATATGTATATCGATCTCTGCTGTAATTCAGTTCCTATCCCATTATTTTCTCTAAATTATGGCAGTCTAATGTACTGACATCCTATCATCAATAATTGATGCAGTATTCTCTTACCAAACTAATTATCACTAACAATTTATTATTGGTAGGATTAGGATACCTTCTACTCTGACTAAAATATTCATTGTCCAACCACAACACTTTTAATTCCAATAGAGAACTAATTACAGGTCTAATATGTCACTTGTCAACAACATAAAATCAACATCGAAATAATTGTCTTTGAGATCAAATGCAACTAAATGACAAAATTTGTTTGTTGTTGGGCCCTCTTGCCACCTTGCCATGCGCCAAAACAACCCAGAAAAAAGGAGAAAGTTATCTTCTATATATTAAAAGTGGCCATGTAACAGAATTTTTTATTTTTAACGGAAAAACTAACAGAATTTGTGTATTAACGGATTATGTAACGAAATTTCTTATTTTAAACAGACAGCTGCACCTCCTTTCAGTGTTTTTATCATAACTTTGTATTCCGATATCCGATTGAAGCGATTCAAAATGTGTTGGAAAGCTAGCTTATCTGGCTACAACTTTGATTCAGACATCATTCTCCAATTCGATCACTTTCTATGCCAAAAATAGGTCTCAATATGAGACTAAAACATCGGAGCATAACTTTTTGGTTGGAAATTAATTTGTGATCATCTTTTGACTAAATTTGATTCCATTGACGTCTTCCTTTATCCAACTGACTCCGAGCACTCTCAAATATTTATCGTGAGGTTCTGAAGTATTTACATTTTAGACCCCGAACTTTGGATCCCTTACAATTTAGCCCTTTCTCCAAATTTGTCAACTTTTGCTTATTTTCTTCGATCTCACCAACTTACATCACAACATCGAAATCACACATCTAATTATTTATCAATTACATAAATATTATCTCATTAATTATTTAATTCACCAAAAAAAATTACATCTTTATTAATAACAAATTAATTCTTAAACAAAATTATTAACGCACCTAATCAATTTTCCTTGTTACTTGCAGCGCGCCAAGACACGCAATTAACCAAAAAAATTTACATCTTTATTGATAACAAATTAATTCTTAAACAAAACTATTAAATATAAACTAAGCAAACGTACAATCATCTAGTTCTATTAATAAAAACAAACAAATCCCAAGACCATACTCTCCCGCGCTGGTTCCGATGAGTATTTTAGGCAGTTCGAACGACTTTTCTAGATATACTCGTATTTAATCTAAAACTCTTAAGGACGATAAATGTTTGTATTTTTTCTGTAGCTGGATCCGCGCTGGATTGGATAAATCGTTCCCTTCATTTTCTCGATCTTATATACAACCCACTATTTACGCCTTGGAACTGCAAAATTCGACTTCAGAAGAAGAATATAGAATGGAATCGCCCAAGAAGCCTCTTGTATTTGCCTACTATGTTACTGGGCACGGATTTGGCCATGCCACTCGTGTTGTTGAGGTAATTTTTATGCGCATTCACTTGATTTTTGATCTATACATATTTTCGTTTATTTTGTATATATAGGTTTAGTTTGTATGTAATCCTATATACCCATTTGTCAGCTTAGATTGTATCGAAGTTCTCTGTTTCAACAATGATAATCAAAGTTTAAAATTCTAATGTGAAGTGGGTTTGTAGAAAAGACTAATCTTTCTTATGAACACATTAAATCTGCAGTTCAATTTTGTAATTTAACGGGTTTGAAGTATTGATGTGAATCATTGGAATATCCCAAATAATTGTTTTAACGACGTTAAGTGATAATGCTTATGAGTTAAAGTGAATAATGTTAACGATTTTGGGTGATCATGTGCATAATTTTGTAATTCAACGGGTTTGAAGTATTCGTGTGAATCATTGGAATATCCCAAATAATTGTTTTAAAGACGTTAAGTGATAATGCTTATGAGTTAAAGTGAATAATGTTAACTATTTAGGGTGATTATTTTCATTTTGAATAGGTTTAAGCAATTCGGATTTAATTTGGAAAATTATTTGGAATTGTGTTTAAGAAATTTGATATTTTGTGAAATTGGTTTGTGTCTGTAAGTAGATTTTTGTGTGTTTGATTAGACAATGCAGCTCCTTTTGATGAGAGATATGAACAGAGGCTTTCAAGAAAACTAGGGATTTTAAAATGGTTATTTTATTTACCATCAATTAACATGAAAACTATTACCATTAACAAATTTTGAATTACTGAGCCACATTATTTTGGAAGAATATATTCTGGAATAGTAGATCGATGAAGAATGTGTGGTTGAAAAAGAAGGAAAAATTATCGATATAATGAAAATATTATTTTATTGAAGAATGTGTGGTTGAAAATGAGTAGAAGAATGAGAATGAAAAAAATAATGAAGATCAAACATGGCATAAAATATTTTCCATCTTCATATACGTTGAAAAAAGAATGATCTTACATTTGTGTTGTCTAGGAATTGATACGTAAACTAGTTCCAGGGTGACCTATTAAAAATCATCATTTAAGCAACTATGTTACCAACTGGAAGCTGGTAGCATCTCAATAAGGTCAACATGGACATAACTCTGTTGGTGAGAAATCCTTCTACCTTTTTCCTATTGACAGGTGGTTCGTAATCTCATTCAAGCTGGACATGATGTTCACGTGGTTACTGCTGCTCCTGACTACGTTTTCACTACTGAAATACAGTCACCTAGACTCTTCATCCGGAAGGTCAGTTAGCACAAAATATTCTAAAGCAAAGTTTTATTTACTTTGCTGAAAATCATATAGCACTTTTCATTTTCCCCATTGGGATTTTGAATTTAACTTGGTAAAATGTATGGTTTGCTTGTGGAGCCTAATCCTATTGGACACCTTTGCCCTCGACTGTGCTGTCTGTGCACATCCACTTAACATGCCTACGCATATAAAGGATTATTTATGGAGCCATTTTCTATGAGATGCAGACTGAAGCAGTGAGATCACTAATGAATCATTTTCATAGTGAAAACTTGCAGCACGAATGAGGGTGGACCACTATAAACCTTTGTGTCTGCTTTCCTAGGGTTTTTTATTTTGTTTTGCTTAATGTTGCCTTGATAGGAGCCTAGTAGGGATTAGGGTATAATCTGCAACAATTTATTGTATGGCAAAAATCACTTCTATGAGGATCTAAGATGAACCTTTTTCCTGTGAGATACAATATTTCAGGCTAATAATAGCATATTTTGTCTGCAGGTGCTGTTAGATTGTGGAGCAGTTCAAGCAGATGCCTTGACTGTTGACCGTCTTGCTTCACTGGAAAAGGTATAGCAATTTCATAGAAATAATTAGGAAGAGTGTGTTGTTTCCTCAAATACAACTATTAATTCTCCCTTTTTTTTTCTTGTACTTTCTAACTGACTCTTTCTTGCTTAATTATTTTTAATCCAGTATGTCCAGACGGCTGTAGTCCCTCGGGCTTCTATTTTGGCCACAGAAATTGAATGGCTGAAATCTATCAAGGCTGATTTAGTGGTACCATCAAGCTTAAAATGATATACTTTCTACTTTAGCCTGATTTTCTTATTGGAATTGTTTTATAAGAATTTTAGAAACAAGCACTCTTTTAGGATTAACTTTACTTAAAAGATATTGTATGAAATAATTAAAACAGAGATGTGTTTGATTTTTTATAATGCAAATGAAATCTTCTTATTCGTGTAACAAATGTTACTAGGTTTCAGATGTTGTTCCTGTTGCATGCCGAGCAGCAGCAGATGCTGGAATTCGTTCTGTTTGTGTGTCGAACTTCAGGTGATTCTGTAGACTTATTTAAACTATATTTTTTGGGGGGGTTTTCTTTCATTGTTCTCTCTTTTCCCCTGATTTTTTTTTCTGCTGCTGGTGGTGATTACTGGCTATATAGTCCGAATTAGTAATTCTATAGAGCAATCTGTTAAGGTATATAGGACAGTAGGCATAAGTAAAAATTGATTTTTTACCTACGTTGAATAATTTTCCTTATGGATAATTCAGAATGATGATGTCTTAGCCGGGGAGATGAAGATAATGATTGTGTACATTCGAACTTTTTCCATAATTAGCCCCTAATTGTCTTCACACAAGCAAAGATATTTTGTATAGTTTGTATTTTGTAAGATCATAGGAATACTTTCTTATTTCTCCAGTTTTAGAATCTCTGTCTTGTCTAATTTGGCATTTTGCTTCACCATCTTTATCTCTCATGGTATTGCATCACCTTGCTTGCTGTTGGTAAATTACCGTTTAAAAACTCAAAAATAAGCATGTCTGAAATTCTTGTTTTGTATTATGTTGACAGTTGGGATTTCATCTACGCAGAATATGTCATGGTGACTGGATACCGCAGTCGCTCTATCGTTTTGCAGGTGATTATGGTTCTTCTATGTAAATGAAGACCTCTCGATTCACCTCTGAAATTACCATACACCAGATGTTTAAATTCATATTCTTATACAAATGACAATAGAAGATGGGTAGTCAATTTCATTATGATGGTTCTTCCTTATCAAAAAAAAAATTATGATGGTTCTAACGACAGAGAAAGGATTCATGTGTGACACAAAGGTTCCATTAATGCAGCATTGTAAACTATTGCAATATAGAGTTCACTTAGTGCTTGTTTGGGAGAGCATAAAAAGTTGCTATAAGTTGAGTTTAAAGTCAATAATTAATTTTAATCTGCTTACCATTTTAATTGAAAAAAGAGGACAACTCCTTTTAATTATTTGATTTTCTGATTATTTAGTTGACATCAAGTCCTTGTGTTTACATTCACGTTACTTCACAGAAATAGGTCTCATGTCGCATAAATTTTTTCACTTTATTTACTCATATGTTTTCTTCATTTAGAAACTAATACATTCTAGGCTTATGTGAAGTCTCATATTATTGAATAAGTATGTTCATACATCCATCAAAATTGAAGATATTAATGTGAAATATGAATTTAGTACCTGCTAATTAGATTGTGGTATATTAGAGCTAGTCATACCAAGTGCAGATAGCTTCATCCACATGGAATGGGAAGAATATTTACTTGAAACATGATGATACATAAAAATTGCTAATTTTCCCATTGTTCAAAAAAGAGAAATATTTATTCCCAGTTTAAATAGCAGGGTGAATGGAAATGCCATTCTATTCACACTCACATTCAGAAGTTATATTATCTTTGTCATAAGGCAAATTATAGTCTTATATATTATTTTCTTGTAAGGGAAATATGTTTTGGAATTGGCATGAAGGTCAATATTGTCATTTATAATTCATTGAGAATCATTGTGACTACTGCGAATTTGGTTCTGAAAGAACGCCACCTTTTCATCATTGGTCTGTCCAATTTGAGAAGGTCACTGATCAAGTTTTGTTAGATATTCCATCATTTTGATGGTTACCCATCCAGTACTGCCGTGAAACTAACAGTCCTGTCACTCTTTCTCATATTTACTATCCTCTATTTTGTCAGTTTGTGTATGTTTTTCCTAGTGATGATTTTCTGAACTTCCCTTATTGGATGAATTGGTTTTTAAGATGCAACTTATTTCATCCGATGAGAATATTTGCAGATAGCTGAAGATTATTCTCATTCCGAGTTTCTAATACGTCTTCCAGGATACTGCCCAAGTACGTTGGTTCCAGCAGTCTCAAGATTGTTACGTGTTTCATTTTTTAGTCGTATCTTTCAGCGACCTTCTAATTTCATAATACTGAAGTTAATGATTCTGTAGGAGGATTCTAACTGTTTCTTATGCATGCCTGAATTCCTCAGTGCCTGCTTTCCGTGATACTGTTGATGTGCCTCTTGTTGTGAGGAGATTACACAAAAATCGAGCAGAGGTGTCTTCCTGTACTAAATGTCTCTTGTTGGCACTGGTTAGTTCATTGTATAATTTTTTGTTTTTCTTGTGGTCAGGTTAGGAAAGAGCTTGGAATTGGAGAAGACATAAAAGTTCTTATATATAATTTTGGTGGGCAGGTAGAGTTTATGTTATATGTAACTATATAACTTCTGCATCTTGGAACTCTCTGATTGCATAGTTTGCCTAATTTTATCCGTTTGTTTTGATTATACTTTATTATCATATTTTCAAGTTCTATTAATTTTTATCTTGATAAACTTGCCTTCATTCTTTGCTTTAACTTGTCTATTTTTTCTTAACCATTCTGCAGTTACTTTGAAAGGTTCTTAAGTATCAGTAAATACGATATGAGCCTCCAAGTATGCTTAGATGATAGGTTTCTTCCATGTATTTGAATAGTTACAGTAGATAACAGTCATTCTTAATTGCTTGCAGCCAGCCGGATGGAAGATAAAGAAGGAATATCTACCAGATGGATGGATATGCTTGGTTAGTTTTACGAGCTACACAATAAATGTTTTCAAATTTTACATTCTCTCCAAATTCGAAAGCAGAGGAACATATTGCATGATGTATGTTAACCGTTGCCTGATATAGGTCTGTGAAGCTTCAGAAGGGCAGGAGCTTCCTGAGAACTTTATGAAGCTTCCAAAAGGCGTTTATACACCTGATGTAATTGCTGCTTCAGACTGCATGATTGGTAACGTTACTGAAAGTCCTACAACTTTATTTTTTATATTTCATCAGTGTATAGTTTGACTTTGGAATGTTTCATATATTTCTTTTCAGGTAAAATTGGATATGGTACAGCAAGTGAAGCTTTGGCATACAAGGTTCCTTTCATCTTTATACGCAGAGATTATTTTAATGAAGAACCATTTGTGAGGAACATGCTTGAGGTACAATGTTGATTCACATTGTTATTCTCTTCCATGGATGTATAACGGACCAAATTTCACCAATTTATATAATGCAAACAGCACTTTCAATGTGGTGTGGAGATGATTAGGAGAGATTTGCTTACTGGGCATTGGACTCCATATATTGAACGGGCTTTTACTTTGAATCCTTGCTATGAGGCAGGCACCAACGGTGGAGAGGTATCTCATTTTACTTGCCTTTAGTCCAGGAGAAACTTTATCAAGGCCTATTTTGCATACCTCAGAATTATAATTTTGCAACAAAAGAAATGTCTCAATTTTGGACCTCAAATGTCTAATACGGTCTCTGTTACCTAAATATATTTTAAGGTGGCTGCTAAAATACTTCAGGATACAGCTTTTGGAAAAGATCATGCTCCGTCTAAGGTGATTTTGTTTTAAGTTTCTAATACCTTTATTTCGTTGTGTCATGTGAAATTGTGTATACCTGGCTCTCAATCTAATTCTATGTTTAGCAACTTCTAAGATAACTGTTTTCAGGAAAGATATTCGTTATGTTAAAAATTGGTTTGAGAAATATAATCAGACTGGCATTCAGAAAATGTAGCATCATCAATAAAGACTAGAATGCCAGCATTATTATGAAATCAACCACACTATTAATTTACTGCAGCAATAGATGCTACGATCATGGTGATGATGCAGTAAATAAGTGGTTATGATTGATGCCATTGTCAACTCCCTATTAGTTACTGCTCTCATTTTATTGTAGGAGATATACAATTTGGTTAATTTTATTTCTTTTTTTATGTAGCTTAGCGGGCCAAGAAGGTTGCGAGATGCCATTGTCCTTGGGTACCAGCTTCAGAGAGTTCCTGGGAAAGACATAGCTGTGCCAGAGTGGTATACAAATGCACAAAATGAACTAAATATCCGCACTCCATCGCCAGATAATAACGTTATCCAGAGTAGCTCCTTTACAAACGAGTAAATTCTCGTATTCTCCATGAGTAATCCACGCTCGTTCATCGTGACCATTTAATCACTTAACTGTTTTTTTGTTCATTCATTTGAATACATTTATAGAAATGAGGACTTTGAAATTCTGCATGGAGATCATCATGGTCTTTCAGATACAATAGCTTTCTTAAAGAACTTGACAGAACTGCATGACTTAAACAACCCTGGAAATAGAAGCAAGCAACACTCACGTGAGCAGCTTGCAGCTGCTGCACTGTTTAACTGGGAGGTACTTACACATTGCTTTTACTCTTGCAAATGCATTTAGCTGGGTAGCTTTTGTTTTGTAAAATTAGGTCTTCTCAGTCTGAGGATGATATGAAATGTTTGGATAATAAGTTTACTTTACCATAACAATCTGGATGTGAGAATCAACACTCATTTGTTTACTCGACCATAACAATCGGGATCTGAACATCTGCTAATTGTTTCTCCAAAGAGAAAAATGGAGTACATATCAGGCCATTGCCCAATTTAAGCAATCAGGGTAAAGAAAGTAACGATGATAAATTCTCTCCAACCACACTCAAAAGTTTGGTAAAGCCAGACTAAAAGAGCTATCTGCAGCCTTTGCCTAAAGAGAAGCAAAAAGATCACTCTATCCCTTAAGCAATAGGCTTTAAAAATGCATCGATGAAAAATTTACATTCCTCTCCTACCTAGTAGACCACGTAGAAACTCTTATATTGCAACTCAATTTTGGCTTTCGACCTCCAGATCCCAAAAAGTGTTTCCCCCACTTAATGTCATTCTGTAAAACTATGGTATCATGGACTTAAGACTTGATAATAGGTATGTATTTAAATGCATCTAACTATTAGCATGTCCTGCAGAAGATTTCCTAAAGAAATTTCTCATTTTAGAATCTGTAGATTTATTTGTTAGACTTTTTAGAGTTCTAAGTAATTTTTATCTATAAATAATATGGACTGTGTTACTTTTATTTACAACTATAGTCAAAATTTTCATGTTCTACTTCTTGAAAATTCTGTTAGTTTTGTAGAAATTCTCTTCATGCAGTTGTTTCACGGATTTGGTGTTGCAGGATGAGGTATTTGTTGCTAGAGCACCCGGGAGGTTAGATGTAATGGGAGGAATTGCAGACTATTCAGGAAGTCTAGTCCTGCAGGTGCTTTTCCATGGGATGCTTCTCTATTCATAATTTGTAGGACTTCTTGTCAAAATTTCTTGATATTCGCCATTTCCTGTGCAGATGCCCATTAGAGAGGCATGCCATGTCGCCATTCAACGGAATCATCCAAGCAAACACAAGTTGTGGAAACACACTCAGGCCAGGCAGCATACTAAACAACAGGGCCCAATACCTGTACTTCAAATAGTATGTAGGATTTTAATCAGCGGTTAATGAAGAGATGACTCATACAGAATCTCTAGTTATGTGCAAAAAGTGGAGCATTACTGCCATATGAAGTCAATTTTCTGGGATCTTATCCTAAGTTCTACCCAGGGCATAATACATATATTCCAAAATTATATGACAAACTAACTAGACAGATTGTTGAAAATTGACCTATTCAGTATGAGTAAAAGGTTTTTGGTGCATAAATATCTTCTTATAATCATCACTCCTTTAAATGTAAATAAATGCTTTAGAAAAAACAATGCTATTCCCCTTCCATAACTAATACATAAATCTTCAATGAGTCAACAGAGAGCTATGGAGCTGTTCCAACCTGTGTCATTTTGAACTGCACTAAGATGGGGATGGGGATGGGCTTATTTTTCTATCTACAAAAGGAATGTCAGATTGGACCCAGCTAACCACTGGGTCATTTGTTCATGAGCCAATCCGTGCTATTCCAACAACATGTCTTTATCCATCCATATGCATGTTCCTATTGTTGGTGACAGTTTGACTGTGAGGCATAATGGCCATTAGAAATTTTGACTGAACTTGATGCAATAATCATTATTTTGCTGTCTGTTTACTATCCAATAAGTTTCAGTTAGGATCTCAATATTTAACTTTTGTTTATGCAGGTATCATTTGGCGCAGAACTGAGTAACCGAGCACCCACATTTGATATGGACTTGTCTGATTTTATGGATGGAGAGCGGCCGATTACGTATGAGAAAGCATATCAATACTTTGCTGCAAACCCATCACAAAAGTAATCTTTTTCGCCTTTTTTAAATATAGATAGCTAGCTTAATTAACAAGATATCAATCCTGTTAGTATTATAAATTCTATTCTAGGTGGGCAGCATATATCGCTGGCACGATTCTCGTATTGATGACTGAGTTGGGTGTTCGATTTGAGGACAGTATTAGCATACTGGTATAGTTCTCTTTTTTGTCTATTCTTTTCCTTATTCTTCTTGATAATAATGCATGCATGCTAATTAAGTGTTTCAAAGTTAACAATGTTTGCCTTTGAGAAACTCATCCATGTCAATCTTGTCTCTCCAATCAATTTAGGCCTCGTTTGTCTGCCATTATTTCAAAACATTGTTTGCTATAGTAAGATTCTCCACCACACATTAACCCAATAAAATATTCTACGCACAAACCAATAAAGTTACTTTAAATTTCAACCACGCATTCTCTAAAAAATACTATTCATTACTTCATTTCTTCTACAATAATGGGAGAAAAACACACACTTAGCTTTATGGGTAATATAGCATCAAGGATTGCCAATTTTAATTTGAGTACATAAGCTTTATTTGGGATATGACTTTCTTAATGCATGTGTATGCATCTATACTTGATTTCTCAAAGTTTTATTAATTTAAAAGTTTACAATCTTAGTCATGCTGAAATATGTCTTGCTTTTAGAGAACTATTCCTAACACCAAAGACCACTTATCCTTCTATCGAGAGTGCTACACTAAAGTGGGATGAGCAATCCATTGATGGGTTACAAGTTGTTCAATAAGCACTTTATACGTCCTATGCTTGATCTCTTCTGAAAAGTTTATTACCATTCCTGATGAATTAGTTAGCTAAAAAATTTATTCCCAGGACAACGTACTTTTTGAATTTGTCCATCTACCATCTTTTGCTAGAGGAACTTCTATACTTTTGGAGGGTGGAATTTATTTGGATTTTGACCATTTTGCACATTTAACCCTTGTGTCATGTTGAATTTTTTAAAATGTGATTTTTTTGGAGAATATGTGATTAAAAAGTAAGGAAAAGTTATGGCTACACAAGTAAAATTATTTTTTGGGAGAATAAGTGGTTGAAAATAAGTTGAAGAAAAGTGATTTTGTAAAATTCAAAATCAAACAAGGGCTTAGTCTCTTTTTGAGTGGTTTTGTTTGATCTTTTTATTACATTTCACTTATGTAGCCTCCATTCTTGTTTTGGCAAAAAATTCCAACGCATTAACGCCACAACTGAATATATAATAATATTTAGGTAATTTCTGGTGTGCCAGAGGGCAAAGGTGTATCATCTTCCGCCGCAATAGAAGTTGCCACGATGTCTGCTGTTGCTGCTTCCCATGGTACAATTCACTGTCCCGATGATGATTAAAAGCCACATTGTTAGATAAATCTGTTGTTATCTCCGTGAGATCAACAGATTTTATAATTTTCATTGGAGAAAATTAACAGTTGAAATCTAATATTTATGTTCCATGTGTTACATTAAGTCTCCCGTTTCCATGCTATCTAGAAAGTTACTAATAGTAAATCGGGATATTCAGATTGTTAAATTGATCGTGCATAATCAAATATGCAATTATCAACCAGCAGGCTGATTATAAAATGGTTTTGATCTCGCCACCATCCAATTTGAAGATTTCCATCCTTTCTTGCAGGATTGGATATTGCCCCGAGGGATCTTGCTTTGCTTTGCCAAAAGGTATATTCTTTAAATGTTTCATTTGTCTTTGTTTATCTATACATCCAAAATCTCTATCTCAATTGTCAGCATAACACTATTCCGTCATCTCACAATAGGTTGAAAATCATGTTGTGGGTGCTCCTTGTGGAGTGATGGATCAAATGGCTTCTGCATGTGGTGAATCAAACAAACTTCTGGCAATGGTGTGTCAGGTAAAAAAAATCTATAATACAAAAGATTTTACAGTAAAAAATGTGAAAGTGCAATACTGAAATGCTAACTACATGTCTCACAAGCCTGCTGAGGTACTAGGACTCGTGGATATCCCGCCTCATATACGATTTTGGGGTATTGATTCTGGTATACAACACAGGTACGAGTTTTTTTTCACTGTATGATTTATTTTTCTGATTCTGTCAAAAAAAATTGTCAAAATCTTTATTATTCTGCTTTGTCGCCAATGATATTATTGGATAAAATGAGGTTGTACCGATGGAAAGAAAGAAGCTATAATCTTCTATATATTGTTCAGTCTTATCAAGAGAAATAAAAAATAATGGAGCTAAAACAAAAAAATAAAAAATGCAATAGCAGTCGAGAAACTCAAAATGATCAAATGTTGCCTTCTCCTTCACCTCGTGGATGGATACCCGTTGTTGAGATTTTGATTTCTGTTTACCCAATTTATTTGGAGCTTCAATTAATATTATTGATACTTTCATTTGGTATACAGTATTCGACACGATTGGACTCGACAACATCTTTTTCTTAATACTGCTATGCAATCACCCCCACCAAACATTCCACTACGAGATTAGAAGTAATGCACCTTGCTTAGAGGGAAAATTTTATCTTTTTTTTTTTCATCCTTCTCCTTCTCAAGATGTATGGTCAAATCTAAGTCTACCACCAACTGAAAGTACAAAGCATGGTTTTTAAAAAATCATCAACAATGGTATGAAAACTAGCTCTTTTTTTTTTTTTTTTTGAGTT